GCCATGAGTTATGTTTTGAAAACTACTAAAAAAAGTTCCTAAGAAACTTTGACCCTCAGCTTATTTTAGTGGTTTTTGGAGAAAAATATAACTACATATCTAATTATAAAAAAAAAAAAAATTGAAATTTCATTGCTTTTGTAACCTATTAACGATATTGGCAAGAAAAATGACTGGACAGTGCCTGGTAGGTATCTTCCCATTCAAGGATGGCTAATATTATACAGATACTTTATTTTCTCCACCTTTACTGGTCCTGAAGGGCAAGGTCTCCCAGGGATTTTTCTGCTCCAGTCAAGAGTCATTCCCCATTCACACTGAGTCCCCTCCAGGGCAGCAAATCAAACGTCTGATATACTAGATTGCTCAAAGCAGCTTTGGGCTCCCCGTTTAAAAAAAGCAGTGTAGCCCTGGCTGGTGTGGCTCAGTGGATTGAGCGCCGGCCTGCAAATCAAAGGGCTGCCAGTCTGATTCCCGGTGGAGGGCCCGTGCCTGGGTTGCGGGCCAGGTCCCCAGCAGGGGGCGTGCGAGAGGCAACCACGCATTATTATCTCTCCTTCTTTCCTCTCTTCCCCTCTCTATAAATAACAATATTTTTTTAAAGAAAAAAAGCAGTATATCTCCCAACAATGATAAAATAGGATAATTAAATATCAATATTACATGAATTATCAATTTAGAATTATTCTGGGTTACCTGTAATTATAAAAAGGATTAAAGTAGGTCTGTAACACATGTATTTCCCTCTCCTTACTGTGGATCTAGTCCCTGCTTTGCTGGCAGTTATAGAATTGAAGATCTGGAAAATGTTAAAATGTATCTTAACTGCAGAGGTTATTCCTAAAGTATTTCAGAGTGATATCCTTCACATGCACCCATCTATTTTGACTCCCATCTAAATATTTCTAAACGCTATAATGTAGTTTTGATGATCAATATATGCACAGAAAAATGGAAGCCTGGAAACCAATGAGACAATAGATAGCTCCCTCTGTGGCCTTGAACATAGCTGTACTTTCAGTTCTGCCGAAGTGGCCTGGCAATCCTGAAACAGAGCTGTTTGCTGTCAGGTCAGGAATCTACATGGCTTCCTGGGGCAAGGTGATCCAAGAATGTTTACAGGCATTCTCTCTCAACTTAGTAACTGATGGGACAATAAAGGTTGTAGAATTATAGACCCTACAGTCAAAACACTTGTGAAGACAGAAGTGTGATAGACTGGCCAATCGCTGCCTCCCACCCCATAATCTTGGAGACTCTGCCTGCTGTTTGTTCCAGGGGGCCGCTTGCCCCCTTGTGCCCCTTCCTCTCTTCCACATGAAGCAAGGAGAACACAGATCAGTAGGATGCACAAGGGGGCATTACCTGGAAGGGTCAGAGAAAGGCACCGCTGGAGCCGGACCGAGGCAGATCAGAAATCACAATGTATTTGAAGCCGCAGCCTTGAGTGAGCACCTAAAGCAGGACCCTGGAGAGGGGCGGCAAATGGAACTCACCAAGCAAGCAGTGCCCAGCGACCTTGAGGACCCAGGAGAAGCTGAGAGTACTTTCCACTTCCAGGGCCGCATAGCCTGGTTACGTTGTTTTCTGTCCTTAATATGACTCCCTGAGATATCCTTAGAGGAAACCCACTTTTAATTCAGCCAGCCTGTGAGGTTTTCCTCTTATGTAACTCAAGAATACCTGACTCAGGGGCCCCTGGCTCAGAGAGAGGGCAGGAATGCCTGCAGGGCTCACCATGGGCCCCCAGGGCCTGGACCAGCCCTTCACCCGGTTGTTCTGCTGCACTGCTTGTACTTATACTCAGCTTACCTGTGATACTCAACTCACCACAAGGCAGTTGGGCTCCTGAAGAAAGCTTCACACACCTTTCAGGATTCAGGCCCATGCACACATGTGCATGCGCGTGTGCACACACACGTAACATTTGCTGATTGATTGCTGTTATCGAAAAAAGACCGTCACCACACTCTGTATGGTTGTTCTTTTCCCTTCTATAAACAATCCTTTTTTCTTACAAGTGTTTTTCTTTTTACATCCTACCAAAAAACTAACATTTGAAGTTACCAAATCACTCAGAATATAGATTCATCAGCATGGTTTTCCTCAGATGTCAACTTTAATGGTGAAGAATGTTGCACTAAATATCTTTCCATCTAAGAAAAGAATACCTCACTCAGAAATGCCTAATCCTCTGCTTTTATGGACGAGATCATTGGGAGTCAGCGAGGTCACACTGCAGGCAGTGATCATTTAGTACTAGGACCCAATGCACCCGATTCCTGACTTTGCTGTGCCACCCGACCTCCTGTACGCATCAGCACGCACTGAAAAAGTTAGATCAGAAATATGAAGCAACCTCTTTCAACAAGGGTTTAGTTTATTATGGAAATTGTAAATTAAACTAAGTTTGTCCAACCAAAAAAAATGCATCCGACTCAAATGCTTGCTTTCTAGCAGTTCCACTCAGCCAAGATTTAAGGTTCCAACCAAACATAGAGTGGCATGAAAGCCATCAGTGCTCACAGGACGAGTAAGTTACACCCTCCTTCCTGGTGAGATCAGGCCCAGAGTGTATATCCCATTTCCCTTCTTGGCTTGCAAGGAAGCATTTACATACACACTTCATCAGTTTTGTTAAGCCTAATTTAACATTTAAGTTCACTTTTACAAATGTTATCTTTAGACATATTTCTAAGTCTTGATGAGGAGAGACAGTGGAACTGCTCTAAGAGCTGAAGAGGGCGTCGTGGGGGGCAGCTACCACAGCTTCCTGTGTATGTCCTCTCAGTGGCAGGGGATGTGCTTCCTGCATGAACTCTGAGTCACTGTGAGGGGGATGGGTGTGGGTACTGGCTCCCCATACACCTGAGGCACTATGCCGCCTGCAAGATGGGACACTCATAGCAAAGTCCCTATTGGAAAGAGTATTAATGTGAGCCAGGACCTTCTTTTATCTTTCCTGAATGTTAAAAGTATGGAAAGATGACACAAATGGTGTTATTCTGAACACTGAGGAATATACACTGGCTTACCATTCCACGTTTTGAGTTTGCTAAATTTGGAATTAGGTTGTTTGATAAGGTGCAACTGAAAGATTAACCTGGTTCCAGGGTAGTCCCTGGTGAGCTACCTAGATTTTTAGGGTAGTTTTGTCTGAACTCCTATATGTGGTGCAGTGGCTAAAAGTGAGCTCTAAAGTTTTTCCCTAGAACTGGTTTTCTAATAATTCTACCAGCTAGCACTTAGGAAAGGCATAGAAATCAAGTACAATAGACACATAAAGAATATATAGGTTTGCTGGAGTTAAAATTTGTCAACCAAGAATAGATCTCTATTATTAAAGTTTTGGTATATCTTCAGAAAATTTTTCAAGTTTGGTTGAATTTGGCCCGAGTTAAAGATACCAGAATAATATGTTTGTTTTGTCTATAGTTTTAAGAAACACTAAAAATTAAATAATAAAATCCCTATTATAAATTTTAGAAACCACATATACACTGAAGACTACATCTTTTACAGTGTTAGAAAACTCATTTCTTTTATAGCAGAATGAAATATCTGGTTTGGTCCTCTCACAAAGAAAACTAACTTTTATTGTGTTTAAATAATTTTTCACTATTAAACTGTTGTCAAGGAGTCCACTGGTATGAAATAAAAATATTATGGCATGTTGATTCAGAATTAAAGACTATTTTTACACTTTCCTTTACTGACCAGAAATATGATTTCTGAGACTGTACATATTTCCCCTGAGATACCTATGTGCTACCTTGGTACATACATTAAATATCATGTAAAAGACCATCTTAGTTGTGAAATCAAAGAGTTTGGTCTACAACACCATTAGATGCTGAAGGAAATACAGTGCCTGGGGAGAGCTGACTCTATGGTTTGAAGCAGGGAAAAATCTCAACCCAGGTCTGGAACAGACAGCACAGATGTTTTTAGAAATGTCAGTCATAAGAGAATACTGGCATTATGTAAAGGGACCTCCTGTTGAGCAAATTGTGAGACTTTAAGCATCAAATATAAGCACAACAAGGTAATAACAACACAAAAGAAGGCTGTGGTACAAGTTTAATTTTTTGGTTAGGAGGGGAGGGTTCACACTGAGTATTTTATTACTTCTAATAATTATATCTGTTTGTAATATTTACATATATAGTTGTTTTTATATGGGTAAGCATTGAAGAATAAACACATGGAACTTGTGAGTTGGCCAAGTGATCCTGGCAGAAGTTATTAGAATAAAAAATAGGATGGCATTCTTAGCACAAACATAGGATGCATGGTGAGTACAAGTAATAACCAGGTAGAAGGTGACATGATGGTCTCATATAAAAACTAAGAGAGAGAGATAATTCAACACTGTATTTTAAAATATGAATTACTCAATATCCTAAAGAGACAAGTTAACTGTATAAACCAAATCACTCATTACAAAGAAACAATAGCTCTAAAATCAAGATTCCCAATAAGGAATACAACCATTTTTAAGTAGTAAAACAAACAAACAAACAACAGATCAAAATACCCTAAATGATAAGCTAACAGGTTAGGTGCTATCAACCATGTAAAGCTTACTACATCATTATCAAGTTTCAAAGACAAAATTTATATGAAGGGGATTTGAAAGTCAGCTCAACACTGTGGCTCAGGTCTGAACACAATCAGACCTAGTCTACACAATCAGACCAAGTCCAGACCAAGAGTCAACTACTAGTTAATAACCCAGATGCTTTCCTTTTCCTTTAGTTTTAGTAAAAATACTGAAGCCCAGGAAAGTACTAATGCTGAAAGATTAGGAATATATCACATTAAGAATCATACTATACTAGGAAATTATTAAGTACAGAAATAACAAAGACATTATCAAAACCATAGCCTTAATGTTTTAGAATAAGTTTAAGTTAACATATAATAATAAATTTTATCTTAACTGCTAATAATATCTTTCATCAGTTAAGGCATTTAAAGATTTCAAAAGACTCATCCATACTAAATTTGTACGCATAGATTAAAATTTTTCAGTAAATTTAACCAGTTGATTTTGCAATTAATGTTTAAGTAAAATGCTCAAAAAAATTGGGGTGCCTAATTTTTTTCTGTATAAAATTAATGAAATAGTCATTAAACAAAGTACATATAACTTTGAGTACTCTTCAGGTCTACAAGTCCCTCAGACAATGAAAGAATCTGTTATATTTTTTTTTTACAAATTCATACTTCAGAAGATAAATCCTGTAATTATGGATTCCTAAGGGTCCCTGCTAGAATCCAAAGGAAGAGTGATTTTAAAGGACTTCAGAAAGACAAAGCTTGAGTCGTACTTTACTACCAAACACAGTCATTTGCTTGGTTTTAATGACAAATGAGTTATAACAGTAGGAATCACATTTCCATACTAACTACTTGGTAGAGACCATGATACATGATGGAGTACGGCACACACTCTTTCCTTCCAACAGGACTGAAGTTGTGTTGAAGGAGGGCCCCAAAAGAGAAAAAGAATATGAAGCACAAAATGTGGGCTGGAGAAAGAAACAAAAACTCAAAAGGTCAATACTTCAGAAAGCTACTATTTGACCAGTTGCCAGATCTTTAGAAATACAATGGAATTGTAAGGATGCGTCTCAAAGGAAAAAAAGCCTTAGTCACCTTAAATCTTACACATAATAAACACAAAAACAATGAGAAAAATCATATGATTTTGTCATATCATAATAAATACTCACCGTGCTTGGCAAATCATGGGGTAAAAAAAAATATAAGGAAAAAATAGAAGAAGAATTCATCTAACTTGTTAGCTTTATGAATGCTACCTTCCTGACATTTGTTGCTGCGTGAATGAAGGACAGAATCCTGGGAGGACTCACTCCTTAAAAACAAAACAAACATTTTGGGGAATGCAAGTCCTCTATCTGCAAAATTATGCACAATGTCAATTAATTTGATTCAGTGCTGGTATCACACTGACCTACATTGATTAAGTAACTTTCTGAGCCATGAAGGTAAGCCTGAGATGAATTATGAGACCTGATGGGGGAGCTGGTTTCTCCACGGGCACTCAATATGGCCAACAGGCCTGTACATACAGAAAGACCATGGGGATATCCGAAAGATGCTGTGTGAAGTTGGGGAGGATGGAATTTGACCAGCAAGATTTTCATGATCATGGCTTTTTTCTCATTTCTTCATCCCAATCAAAATCTAATGCTTCATCTTCTAGTTCTGGTAAAGTAAAGAGAGATTTTTTGGAAAGACTGAATCTGTCAGTGGACCCCCCCAACTGAAAAGTCTTTCTTTTCCTGCCAAGCGTGGTAGCTGTAGTCGTGGGAGGACAGCCTGGGCCTCTCTCTCGCCAGTTCTCACTTTCAGAAGGAGGCAGGGATTCTGATTTAGATTCAGAGGAGGAAGTAAAGGAGAAGTTGGCCAATTTGGCTAATGTGCAAGCATGAACCTTGCTGCTTTTATTAATGCACAAAAGCTCTTCTTTTTCGTCTTTTTCACAAGTAAGATGCAAATGCCCAGTCTCGTTCCGAAGCTCAGATTCAGGCTGACTAACTCTCTTTCCAGAGGCACTTTCCCTCTCCTCTCCCCATCTGTCTTTCTCTGGTGGCTGCCGTGACGCCTGCCTTGCCTTCCCCTGCAGCTGACCTGAGCTTCCGTTTCCTGAGGCAGAGGTCAGCATTTCTGGACCCTTCACCAGCAGAGCTGCTTCTCCTCTTGTTCCATGCTGGGAAATTTTCAGATTCTGAACTGCTATGTCAGCTGTGCCAGGAGACTCGTGGCTGTGGTCTTCAGGGGAGTGGATCAGTTTTGACTTGTGTTTGAAAGTAAACTTTGCTAGTTTGGTCACTGGAAGACCCAGACTTTCAACCCTTTCAGGTTCAGGCTCTTTCACCTGAGGGAGGGGTTTCTGTGTCTTTCTTTTGAGAGTTTCCAGCGTCCTTTCTGGACTATGTACAGGGGTGGATGGAGGGTGAGAAGGGCTTATGGGCGCCCTGGTAGGGTTTCTGCACAACTCCTGGGCCTTCTCCTTGCGCAGCCTGTGCAGTTTCCTGGGGACGTGATGAGTCAGTACCGAGTCTGGTTCCCCAGCAGTTCCTGTTGTTTCAGAAACTACGGTTGCCTTTTTTTTCTTTTTACCCTCAACACTCTCTGGCTTCAATGGAGCTTCTGTCTCTCCTGGAGCTGGATGCTGTCCAGTTTCCAATTTGCTCCCTTGGTCTGGCTCACTCTTTTCCTTACCCTGAGATTTGTTGGAGTTTTTCAAAGCCGTTTTTTCCCCAGTCGTATTGAGACCAGGAGACATAGGAACAGTGTTTTCAGGTTCAATCTGATGACTTTCCATGGAGTCAAACCAATCTAAACTGTCATCTCTGCTGTCTTTGTGCTGAGCTGAACGTTTTCTACTTGTTGACCTATTAGGTCCCAGATGAGGTAGGGGATCAAGAAGTGGGCTTCCACTGGGGCTGCCTCCAGTAGAAGAGGTATGTATACCATAGTTCATTTCTCGTGGTGTGGATGTTTGGAATCTGGATTCTTCCCCTGGATCATTTCTCGAAGATCCTGAAGTAGACTCTACCTCCAATGCCCCTGGCTGGGATTGGGACATACTTTGATTCTGTAACCTATAGCAGAAATAAGGAAAATACGTATTGAAGGGAAGGAAATTTGCTTTACCCTTCTCATTTCTTCAGGTTTGAAATGCCATCTAAAGGGTAAAGTCCAACATATTTCCACGTTAACACCAAATACAGCCTCTAAGAACAGCAAGAAGGAATTATCCTTTTTCATCAGAATAGTCTAAGTGATCTGAAAATGATTCTAATTTGACCTTGAATTGAAGTGAAATAAAGGAAATGAAGCAGTAGGTTTGTCTACATTTTCCTTCTCCCTAAAAGTCCATTTAATTCAAGATTGTTTCAAGGTCAGTTTAAAATGCTCCATCTTATCTCTCGTGTTAAATGTGTAAATACAAGATAGGCACAGTAGCTTATTGTTAATCAAGAAAGTGGGTCTAGGTGCTTAGTAGCAAGTTTGCAGATCATATCAGAACCAAAGTGAAAAACTAAAAATTATGATCTCTCACATCTCACCTAATTGCAGTACTGAATTTTAGTACATCTGAAAAGTCACTTTCCTAAACAGTAAAGAGACTGTGATTCCTCTGTACCCATGGCTCCCACATTCACATTCATGGCAGACCTTCCCCAGACAACTGCGATATCTTTCCTGCAAAGCCCCGCTGTTTTTCAAATGTGTTCTGGGCAGCTATTCACCAAGTTGATGTGAGTCAAAACCTACGGACCCTCCCTGAATGAAGAATCTGGTCAGTGATATCCATTATAAATCTTGTGCATATTAGAAACAAAAATAATGCCAGAGGTTCAATTTCTAACAGAGACTGTAGTTTCTCAAAAGAAAAGTCCTTTAGAAAGCCCTTCCTAATAATCTAGAGATGCCTTTTCATAATAAGGGGTAACATGACCTTGCTGCCATATACTAAATCTGAAAAGGAATTACATAAAAAAGCAGATGAATAAATTATTCTAAAAACATGTATGGCCACAGAAAAAAGAATAGAAGGAAACACATTAAATTTAAATATACTAAATACACTGAAATGTTACTGGCAGATTTCTCTGGGAAATAAGATATGTGATTTTTTGTTTCCTTATTAATTCATTACTGTTACTTTCAAAATAATCTATAAAGAACATATATTCTTTTTTTACTACTGGGAAAAACATTTTATTATGTACATATTAGGTTATATTCACTCATGCTAGATTTGGAAACACCAATATTGTAAATTCATGTTCATTGTAGTCACAACCAACCAACCAACCAACCAAAAAAAAAAAAGTAGCTTTCAAAATTATTACTACCTAGTATACTGTCAGCAGTAATTAAGGTCAAGGATACTAATAATTATTAAAGCTCCATAACAATGTTCTAAAAGATAAATAATTTTCAGGGATAGAATAATAATTTAGCTCACTATTTTAGTCTAATCCTGACTTTGAGAATTAAATTTTCCCCTACATAAAATGTCTGTAGTTTACTATAACTTCATAAAAGACAGCATCTTTGCACTCTGATTTAAAGTGAGTAAAATGGCCACCATTTGAGGCAGGATGTCACTAAAAGCATTTTCCAGAAAAGTGTGATACAAATACAAATAGTTTTATGAGTAATATGTGATCTTCTTAAGGAATAGAGAACTCTTTCTTAAGGGGCTAAAGCCATACACTACTTGGGGTTTTCTCCCTTGTGAAGAATAGCTTTAGATTTTGTTCTGGAGCAACTGACTTTCATTTGTGGGGTACCAGGTTTTGTTGCTTTGAGGATCAATACCCAACAGCCCTCTGCATTAAAAAGAAATACCAGAAAAACAGAACATTTTAAGGTGGAATCCTACCTTTTAGATCATCACCTACTCTTTTTTCTTTTTTCCTTGCAGGGGAGTCATTCTGAATTTAGTTAAGTCCAATTGCTATTTTTCTGTCACATAACACTGATTCTTAGTCTCACATTCCTTCCCTTCCTGAATCCAGCATGTTTTTGGTAGTCAAAATGATCAGTTTCTGGTCAGTCAAAATGAGCAGTGTCTCCAAAAGCAAAGCTAAGCCCAGGGCAGGCCTGGAAAGGATCTGCTACATCAAACCATAATAGAACCAAAGGAAGAGCTTTGATCTTAACACCATACTCTGGGTCATTAAAAAAAACAGGAGACCGAAAGAAAGTGGACTGATTTTATACAAAGTGCAAGGTTAATGCAGGCTGGTACCTGGTGTATTAGTTGGACAAAGCCAGCCCTACACCTCCCCAGGAAGGCTGTGCTGAGGTTTATAAATTAGAAGGAGAATGATGCTGGATGAGTGACTGAGGGAAGAGGAGAAAATGCCAGTCAACAATTCCAGCGTGGCCTCCACATTCTCCTTCTGCAGCTGCTCCACTTCCACATGCGCTCCATTCACCAGACTCCAGCTTTGAGAACAACAGCAATGACCAGGTTCAGGTCAATCATCCAGCCACTCACTGACCATGATGACATCCAAATGGATACACCTGCTGTTCCTCACGCCTGTTTCATAGGTACAGGCTCAAAGTCTAGACTTTTAGATGCTCATGTATTTAGGGACATACAAACACTCTGTTTCAGACAACAATTCTTCAGGTAACACATGACACAATCCTTCCCCTATGTCCATGTTCTGACAAATTCTTAGAAAGGTGAGTTCTGAAACATTCCCTTTGTCACTCCTCAGTTGTTACCTGGTAGGATGATTTCCTTCTTTAACATAAAATACATCATTCTCACTGGGAATTTTTTTAGTCTGACTGTTAAATACATAAAATTTTGAAAGTCATGAATTTGGGCATGCAGGAAAGGAAAACTGCAGCCTGGGAACCAGGAGGGCCTCTCCCAGGTGACGGTCAGTAGTAGTCATCTCTTTTTATAGCTTGCCCAGCATACAAGCTTAGGCTGGCCTAAACCAGTCTGGGCCTCAGTCTTCTACCTGAGCATTTCTCTTACCAGGGTTATATAAGGACTAATGGTCAAATATTCATTAGGTTTGGAAGAAAGCTTTAAACACAATAAGAATAGAATTAAAATATTAATAAACACTAAATTCTTTACGTAAACTCCCCTGCACATGTCCTCTCCTAGTGAGTAAAAACAATAAGGCCAAGTAGGCCCTTCGAGCCTGGGTCTGGCCTGGCGCAGACTGCGCCTGCAGTCTAACTCCCTCTTTCTTGACAGCAGCCCCAGGCATCTCTCTGAATGGCGTCACTCTGCTCCCTACAGTGAGCCAAAGAATGGGAAGAGGAAGCAGTGCCAGTAGCAGGCATTATGGTAAAGCCCATTCACCAAGGTGTCTTGATTCCACAGCAACTGCTCATCTGGGGTATGAACTGTTGGTAGCTTAATTTGGTGCTTCTCACATAATTGAGACCCAGTGTTATAAATTTTACTATATATAGTAAAATTATACATAGTTTACTACATATAGTAAAGAACCTGTCAGTGTTTTCCACGAGGTTCACCAAACCAGCAAATCAAGAAAACGTAGCTTTGAAAGGCGGTCTCTGAAGACGGCAGCCATCAGTTTCCCCATTCCCATATGTCTGTGCCACACCTCCCACCAGCAGGTGCTGTTTATTTCCCTCTGTTTTGTCTGTGGGTTGACCTTGTGACTTGCTCTAACCTACAGAATGAGGCAGAAGTGATGCTGCTCCAGTCCTGGTCCAGCCTGAAAGAGGCCTGGCAGCTTCTACTCTTGCTGTATTGGAGTCCTAAGCTACCGTGGCAGAATTCTGACTACCCTAGCGCAGAGAGAGCCAAGCCGCCGCCGGCCATTTAAGCCACCCCAGCAACGACAGCACACAGGTGATGGAAGCCATCTTGGATGAGCCAATCCCAGTTGAGCTCCCAGTTGAATGCAGGTGTTCGAGTAACCCCGGCTGACACTACGTGGAGTGGAGATAAGCCATCCCCAGGAGCCTCCTCAATTTCTGACTCCCAGAAAAGTGAGCACAACAATGGGGGTAGTGTTGTTTTTTTTTTCAGCCACTGAATTTTGGGGTAGCTGATTATATAGCAATGGATAACTGAAACAATCCCTTACAGACAGTACAGACCAGATTTTCCACTTAATTTATATTTCCTTGGTTTCATAAATGCCAAATAAAGCTTTTCCATTATATACTTTTCCTGGTTTTCTTTTCTCACCTTTCAAGTCTTCTTAGCTCTTCACTCAAGAGGTCATGCAGCTCCAGTTTTTCTAGAATAAGTTCACACTGCATCTGGTACTGCTCCAGAGGGTTTTCAGGAAAGGAAGTGTGGAGTGCATTCACACCTCCCAGCAGTGCCCCTCCCTGAAGGTATGAGAAATGTAAAATACCAGGGAGAGTCACCAGGCCAGCCTGCATACAAGAAGTACACACGAGCGTTCACTGACCCCAGATGGCTAAGACCAGCCCTTCACACCCCTGCCTTGAATGAGAATCACTTGGGGGCCTTTTGCACATTTCAGGAGTCTTCTTCCCCTATTCTTGCTGGCAAGCACTGCTCTAGGAAGCCACACTCTCACTAGTGCGACCATGAGTATCCCTTAGGTGTCTGAAGGAGAAAAAGGACTGAGACCCACTCCTTTACACAGATGGACAAAAGCAATGCTACTGATGCTGAGAATGTTTCCATGAAAATTTTCTCCTTATTTTAAATGGTTTCCTTTGGATATATTGCCAGGAAGTATGAGGTCTAAAACATGAAAACTTTAGTAACTCCTGATATACTATTTTATTTAATGCTTATAATTACAATTCAAATATTAATACAAAATGTCCTTACCTGCATTGAGGACTCCATTACTGATACCACCGTAACAGCATCTTCCAGAGTTACCGTGTCACGGAACATCAGGCGAGCATGAGCTAAGGAAATCAGATGCATTTAAAATTATAAAGATAGAAATTTCTTAAATAAATATTTGAGGTGATAAATATAATAGTGTACTTGATCCCCCTCCAAAAAATTTTATATATTCTAAATGACCTACTAATAACAAATTAATTTTATCAGAACAAGTACAAAAGTCTAAGTTCAACTCGCTTTAAGGTTGCTCTCTAATAAAGGGCCTAATCCTTCTGCACTGTCCATAGCAATTCTGTATATTTGTATGAAAAAGTATTCTGGGCTCCAGGAAAGGAAGGGGCTATATAAGCATATATTTAATATTCAATCATTTTAATCTATTCTAGTCTATTATAAGAAATACATAAAATTAAACTAATTTCTCATCTCTGGCCCTTTTCTTTATCTGTGAGCTTTTCAAAACTACCAAACTTGTGAACGTAAAGTTTCAGCACTTCTTGCCCTAATATTAGCTATAAATCCTTAAAAAAGTAAGGTGTGTCTGTTTTATAGAACTTTTTATTAAGCATATATTATGTCATATGGTACAGTCAGTTCATATGAAATTGTTTTGAATTATTTAAGCAGGGCAAAATGTAAAAACCAGCGTTAGACAAAAAGCTTTGCGATGCTGGTAAGCTCTAAGTCAGCAGGACACTCTTACACCTAAGGGGTGGGGCAGGGCACTTTGGTGTTATGATGTCAGTGGCACTTTCCTGTTAAGGAAACAATTCCAAACAAGGCAGTGTCTAACCCAAAAACGCTAACAGACTGCCACTGAGAAACAAAACCACAGCAATTAAGACTTCCTAAAGGAATGAATTAAGTTATAGGAGGTCTTGAGATATCACAAAGGTTCCTCTTTCTTTTTGACACTACACTCAACACCCATAAAAGTCCCCAGAACAGCGGAAGTTGCATAGTTCAGAGCCTTTACTTTAATAAGCAACCCTGAGCACCTTAGAGTAGAAATTATTCTTATTCATCTTTGAATTCATCGTGCCAACCCCTTGTACATATTGGGCACCCAGTAAAAAATTCATTTGTTGAACGAAATAAACCTTCTGCTAATCGTATCAAGCTCTCCAAGAGGCGGATGGTCGTCCGGGCAGCGTTCCGGGAATCACTCTGCCTTTGCATCTGGTAGTACCGGAGGAGAACCTGATTGCCCGCTTCAGACAGCGTGGGCTGAAGATTCCTGATGAGGCAGAAGTAGGTTTTCATCTTCTCCATGCTCCAGAGCTTCTCTGATTTACTAGGGTAACCTGTACACATTAGGTGTTAGGTGAGTAAACATTCTCGCACTAGGTAAACATCTCATTTTAAGGCTTTTGATAAAGTTCTTGTACTCATTTTCAAAAAGGTAAACTTTAGGTTTTGTGGCTATTGAAATCTAGACCTGTCTCTGTGTAGCTTATAGTTCTAGAACAAACAGTGCTAGGATCTAAGTTTAATAAAGGTAAGCTTCCCTACAGCGGTTAAAATTACTCAGAATAATTACGGTGTGCCCTATATTTTAAAATAATACTTGAGTAAATAAAACTTAATTTAAAGAGAAATCCATATTTAGATTTGTTTCATAATTCAGTCCAGTTTTCATTGTGTCAAGAAGTGAAAAATTATACATCATATGGTTTTCCTTGAATGCAGGATTGAATAATAATTATATATCATAAGATTGTCCCCTTTCATCACGAAAAACATCTTCACAACTATAATCTCATCAGTGGCAGACAGAAAAGCCCTTTACCCTCTGCTCATTGTTCTGGGCTCATTAGCTCACTCCTCTCACTGTTTTCAGTCTAAGCATCTTTCTGTTGCCTGGTAGGTAGGGTTCCTTGGGTATTTATTTAATTTTCTTCAAAGAAAGTTTCATTTGGCTACGTCTACTTTTTTCCTTTGTCAGTTAGTATAATTTGTCATCACATACCTTTGTTTTCTAAGATAAAGGAGGAAATGATACGATCCCAGTCTTCATTCTTGGTGTCAAGCAAAACCAGGATCAGGTCAAATCGACTTAAGAGCGGGCTGCCAAGGGCGATGTTCACAGACACAGACTCATGGGGGTCATATTGGCCTTTGGGGTTAGTTGCTGCCAGGATTGTGGTCCTTGTGTTCAGCTTGCACACGAGGCTACCAACAGAGAGGGTACAATTCACTGACTGTTGAGATTCAAATAGAAAGCAAGACTGAACTTGTTAATGAAAAGGGACTGCTCTTGTACCTTGAAAATGTACAGAAACTCCTGTGAAAGAGAATGTGTAATGATACAAGGAGGCATCACAAACACCAAGTTCTACGAAGTGCATTTACACTAGCCTATCTTTATATGCCTATCTTGTAGAGAAATAAGTGTTCATAAACACTCTTTATGATTCCAGTATGAGCAGATCCCTCTGCAGGGTGCTAGGAGTTATACAAAATAAACTAAACATGGATAGTGCTTTTAAAGGGCTTGCAAACCACTATAATGGTAAGACAAGGGAGAATGTGGTTAAGTTCTAGAAGAAAAAAGGTCCCAGGAGAAGTAAAGATGATGTATATTCATATATGTAGATGGAAGAGATGATCAGAAAAACATTACAAAGTACCTTTTCAACTGGGCCTTTCATGACATGTGCACTTTTGAAAGTGGACATATAGGCCTTGACTGGTGTGATTGCGTGGTTTGAGCATCCTCCCACAAACCAAAATGTTGCCGGTTTGATTCCCAGTGTAAGGCACATGGCTAGGTGGTAGGCCAGGCCCCAGTTAGGGGCATGCGAGAAGCAAGTGATTGATGTTTCTCTCACACATCAATGTTTTGCTCCCCCTCTTTCTCCCTTCCTTCCCCTCTAAAAATAAAAAAATGAAACCTTTAAAAAACATGGATATATATATGCGTGTGTGTGCATGTTGTGTATATATTAGTGGAGAAGGTGGAGGGTGAGGATGATTTTGGAGAATCTTGAGTGGTTAAAGCAAAAACTGCATGTGTTCACTTTTTAATTTTTTCTAAAAGCGAAGGAGCTAAAGAATAGAAATAGAGAGATAAAGGGAGGGAAGAAGAGAGGGAGGAAAGGAAGTAGAGGAAATCAAGAAAAATAAAGGCTGATTAGCACTGAGTTTTGGGGGAGCAACAGTGAAGGGAACTGGAAGTGGTGGGTAGGTTAGACGGGGGAGGACCGTGGGTGGACGGACACTGGAGGAGATGGAGGCAAGCGTCCAGGAAGAGGCATGCGAGTCCTAAACGGAGCAGTGGCATAGGTGCGGATATGCCATCACTTACAGGCTGCTGTTTTTAAACTTATTAATGATCGGCAAAGTCCTCAAGATAATACGGCGCACTCAATGACAATAACAAATGTAACATTTTTCCTCCATAAATCTGGCTGATCTGCAGTTGATGGCTGTTTTTAATTACAGTGGCATGCCTGCCTCTCAGGTCATAGCCCAGTGGCATCAGCCAGCATGTGCTGCATTTATTAATCCATGATTTATTTTCAGCTGACTGTAGTGATTACCTCACACCTTAAGACTGGAAAAGTTTGAGAATCTTAATTTGTGCTTAGTGGCACAAGAAGACACCCATTAAAAAAAAGAAAGGCAAACAAAACACTTTCACTGAAAACTAAATCCCCTTTTAAGAAAAGTTAATGAAAAAGAAAAATTCTGGACAGATCACATCTTATAATTTATGTGCCAAAATGGTTTTATAAAGGTAGAATCCAGTTTTCCATGAAAACATGTAATAAATGGGTCCTAACTAATCTCACAAAAGCACATTTAATCTGTATCAAAGAAAGGCTATTTGCATTTATCAGAAAAATGAAATATTGCTGCAGTACTGGCATTGAGACAAAATAAAACTACATATAAAATAAACTTTTAGAAGTTATTTTAATATGCGATAAAAATAATTGATTGTTCTTTCTCTCTGGTCAACAGATATTTATAAACCATCTCCTGTGTGCAAAGGGCTGTACTGAGAATTCTGAAAGGAATCCAGCAGGTCTCTGCCCCCACACCCTCACCATTAGTTTGCAGTAGAACTGCTGGGAGAGGGAGAGGCTCGACACAACACTTGCAGGCAGGCAGCACGGGTGCACTGATGGTGTATCAGCATGAGCATCAGCAAAGAGAAACTTCTGGGGAGCATCCTGGGTATCTGCAAGGTATATGATCTTAAAACAGTCCATGGTGTGAGAAGGAAAATAAACTAGCAAAGAGAGGAAGAGGTGGTGAATTATTCCTGCGGTAACTGAATAAAAAATTAAAAGAATAAGCTTCAGGAAAGGGGCTAAGGAAGACTTCTATGTGAAGTAAAATGGCTGCCCGAGGAGCAGTCAGTGGAAGAGCCAGCAATGAAAAACAGAGGAGTGGGCAGGGGAAGTGGAAATCGTGCGGGATAATAAGTCAGGCAGCTGCCTGTAGCAAAGAAAGAGGATGAGGACAGTGCCAAGAGGGACAGACTGGTCTCTGGTCATTTGAAAGCAGGGAAGACAATATATAAGCCTGATGGTAGCAGACCTGTGATACAAACATTACTGCATTAAAAATTGAATGAGGCTTTTGAAAGCACAGGCACAAAGACAGAATCTAATCCTAAATGCTTCGTGCATAGTAATGGCTCACTAAATAACTGAGTGACAAGCTCACAAATTAGTGTAAGGTAATGGTCATTTTTCCAAACCAATATGAGCTCCATCTTCTTTAATAATAATAATATCATCATCTGTAATACCAAGCACAGTGTTAGGCTTTATGTACACATAGTATTCTTAATCTACACAACCACCCAAAAGACAGACAGTATTATTACCATCAACTTAGCAATTAATGAAGGCAGATTTCCCGAGATGTTAATAACTTCCCCAGGGTTACAGAGAGCAGGCAGCAGAGCTGAGAGTCAAACCCAGATCTGCTTGGCTCCAAAACCAGTGTCTCTCACCTCCAGGCTGCTGTCTCAGCGGTGAAACATTTTAGATAAACAGTTCCTGCGGTCCTAAAGATTCTGCCTGATGCTTTAGGCATTTATTTACTTAATATATTTTTTCTATTAAATTTATTGTTATAATCCTTGCACTGCTTGTCCATGTTAAATGCTCAATATACATGTGCTAAGTGACAAATAAAAAAAAAAACCTTTACTTAGTTCAGTATCAAATTCAGGGTCATTTCATAGTTGCAAGCTTCAACAGTCATAAAATAATCATGCTAATATTTTTTTTTCCTGGTTAACTTGAACTGAAAACATTCCAGTCTCTCAAAAAAGCTACTTTTCCATTTTGAATCTACATGGGTTAACTTCCCTATAAACATAGTAGTAACTTTTCTAAATATCATACAGTTAGATTACATAAATTATTTTTAGCGTTACTGGCCCTCCACAAAGCGCCTTTGTTTCTGTGACTGTCTCTCATTATGTCCTTTATGGGGCGATCCCCACCTTCACTCATGGCTTTAATCACCTGTATTCCGACAGTTCCAAGTTTACCTCTTAGACTGTAGTAGTAGCTGCTATGTTTTCACCAAATCTTATTTCCCTTTCTCCTGGGGATAAAGAAAGATTGTATTTCCTGTCCCCCTTTACAGTTAAATAGGGCTCTAATACTAAGTCTAGCCCATGGTGTGAAGGTAAAAGAACCTATGCTCCTTTCAGGTCAGGCAACAACCATCCTGTGTAACCTTCCTGTGCAACCACCAAATTCATAGAAACAGAAAGTAAGATGGTGGTTGCCAGGGACTGGGAAAGGTGAAAATGGGGAGGTGTTATTCAATGGGTATAGAGTTTCAGTTTTGCAAGATGAAAAAGCACTGAGACTGGCTGCACAACAATGTGACTGTCCTTCACACTACTGAAGTATATACTGAGAAATCATTAGGGTGGTAAATTGTATGTTATGTTTTTTAACCACAATAAAAAAAAAGTCATGGAGGCTGTTATGGACTGAATGTTTGTGTCCTCTCAAAATTCATTATGCTGAAAGCCCTAACCACCAATGTGATGATATTATGAACTTGGGCCTCAGGGAGATAATTACGTTTGGATGAGGTTATGAGGGTAGAGCCCCATAATGAAATTATGTCCTCAGAAGAAGAAAGAGAGACCATAGCTCATTCTCTCCACACTCATGCACCGGGGAAAGGTGTTACACAATGAGCACACGATGAGAGGCAGTGGCCAGAGAAAAGGAAAAAACTATTAACACACGCAACAACCTGGATGAACCTTAAAAACACAAAGCCAAGTCAAAACTGGCAGGCACAAAATGTCACATCCTGTATGATTTTGTTTATATGTAATGTCTAGAATAGGCAAATCCATACAAACAGAAAGTAGATTAGTAGTTGCCAGGGACTGGGAAGACATGGGAGATGGGGAACGGAGGAAATGAGGAGTGACTGCTAAAGGGTATGGGATTTCTCTCTGGGGTGATGAAAACATTCAGGAATTAGACAGAGGTGGTAGTTGCACTCTATGCCTGTACTAAAATTCATGAACTTATATACTTTATATACTTTAAAAGGGTGGATTTTACATGGTATGTGAATTATATCTCAAAGCTGTCATGAGAAAAAGAATCAAAATAAAAGGTATATTTGTAAAAAACAATCTTTGCTCCCCTAAAAAAGAGCATGCAAAAAGTGGGGGTAAAAAACTCCACAAAACTATACAAAATGAAAACATAATAATGATTGTCTCACAATCTACTTTTTTTAACACATGTATATATTTTGTAATCTTAAATGCTAGATACACACACCCTCCCTCTCTCTTTAATAGGGTTGACGAAGTTGACGAACTACCTTTCACACCTGGATTGACTCACTGAGTGGTAACAGGAGATTCACAAGCAATGGGACTAAGAAAGAGGAAAGGGGGGAGAGCAGTGCTCATACACGTCATCTAGAAAGAACAGAAAACGTCCCCAGTGCAGGTTCACAAGATCCTCGGAGGAAGTGGCAAACAGGGTGCCTGGTTATGAATTCATCTTACCCCAGAGTTATGGTTCCAAGCCTGCCTCTTCAATGAGAACTGAGGTAGGTTTTAACAATACAGATTCCCAGGTCCTGTCTCAGAGCATCTATGGGGAGGCCTGGTATGGACTAGAAAAGTGAAGATCAGCCAAGTGAGGACTGGTGCTGTGGGC